ACTCTGTAGAAGAGGACCCTCTCCCTCTGTAGATAAAAACAGCTCATTCTACGACTATGGTGTTATATTCCATTGCAGCCAATAGATACTCCTAAATGTTACACACTGGACCTTTTTAAAGATATTTAAATACAGTGGATCAGCATGTTTTTGAGCCTGACCTCTGGGTTGCTTCAGGGAAGTGAAACTTAACCAACAATATATAAATATATACATAGCTGTAAAAATGCATATGAAGGTATTAGTGCATTTTTGACCATTGTAGGATTTTGGTAATGTTGACGATTCTTTGCTTTGTTCTATCCTATGTCTCTGTTCCCTCAGTGGTTTGAGCCGTCCCAGTTTGGAACATGGTGGTCTGTGCTGTCCTGCAGTATGAACCTGGCCGGGAGTCTGGGTCCAATCCTGGTCACTCTGCTCCTGCAGTACTACGACTGGAGGACTATTCTAACCATGTCAGGCGCTTTCTGTGCTGCCTTCTCATTTGTTTGTCTAGTGTTTGTAAAGAATGAGCCGAATGATGTGGGCCTGCCCAGCATCCAGACAGCAGCCAAGAAGGGGGCTAAGGGAGGTAAGTCAAGAAGATGGTTACCTAGAATCATGTCGGTCACATAGTGCCAAGTTAGCTCCCTTTCACTTCTAACATCCCAACAGCGGGTCTGTCCTTACACCCACACTTGCGATATTTGCGAGTAATCAAGTGCCTGCTTGTATGACGAAGTTTTGATAACTGCACCAGTATCCAAGTTCCCGTTTAGACTGCAGTGTGTGGAGGTTTATCAGAGCTCACTGGGACATACTTGATTAATGAGGATGTCCCGTAGCTTGTGCAAGAACAGATATTTAATTTCCAAATTATTATTATTTGAGTTATTAATTAACAAATAAGTACGCTTGAGGTTACAGTGGAAAGAAACACCCATTCTGGAGCCGAGGGAGCAGGCTCATCAGAATCATAAAAGCAGTTAAACCGAGTTATCAAGGGGCAGGTTGGACTATTGAGAAAAGGAAACGTTATTTGATTCGAGCTGAATTAGATTTAAAGGTCCAGTGTGTAACATTAAGGAGAAATGATCACCTCTGTTTTTACCAGCACTGGCACAAAGGTCACACAGACACCAATGTGCACCTGCAGCAGCACAGACAGTGAGTGGCTGTCTCACATCTTGGATGAGAAGAGAAACAGACTGAGCTGCAACAAGGCAGAGATGCTTATCTTTGTAGATTTCTTTGTTTCCCTGGCACAAAAGGCGAATAAATAACAAAAACATCGCTATTGGCATCAGAATTTCCCAATCGGTCCAATCTCTAATACAACTTTGTTTTAAATCTATTAATCATCTGAGCCACAATTTAGGTGTACTGTGTGTGTGTTAGATTTGTTAAGACATGGAACACACTTGCCTACTACGTGGATGGGCCTGAATGTGCACATCAGTGCTCAAGACTGGACTTGAGGTGTGTTTCCCAAACAACATCTGAGGTACTAACAGAGCAGTTAGTACCTCATCAATAACAACTGCTCACCCATTTTGTGTTTGAATTAAGTCAGTCAGTGTTTCACCAAGAAAGCCTGTTACTGAGGTCTACATGTTGGTTGGTGTGGTTTAAGTTTGAAGTCATTCAAACTGCTCTTTGAGTATGGCACGCCTGCATTTTACTGCATATATTGTTATTATCAGTATGTGACAAATACATATTCAATCTTTTGTCACCAGAAGATGGCAGTGTGGACATAACTAAAGTTTTGAACAGATCCTGTATAGAATACTGAGTGCCTGTGGGGTCTTAAAAAGTCTAAAATCCAATAATATAAATTTTAGGCCTTGAAATGTCTTTAATATGTTTTTAGGAAACATGTATTGATCATGCTGTAACAAGTACAGATCATACCAAAATGAAACCAGCACTTATTTTTCTTCATATCCTTCGTACTTTTATGCCAGTATGGACATAAACTCAGTAAGTGAACTTACTGCACTGTTCGATATTGACCTGTTGCTGATCTCTGTGTGGACGTATCTCCCTGTATGTACTCACCCACCAGGCAACAGCGAAAGCACCCTGAGTGAGTTCCTCCTCTCTCCCTTCCTGTGGGTGCTGTCTCTGGGCTACCTGGTGGTGTTTGGGGTGAAGACGGCTGCGACCGACTGGGGACAGCTGTTCCTCATGCAGGAGAAAGGCCAGACTGTTCTCATGGGTACGCATTTTAATTGTCCACTGATTCCCACTGATTGATTTTCATTTAATCAGACTCGTCAGGGGTGTTGACATCCGCTGTTTTGTTCACAGGCAGTACCTACATGAGTGCCTTGGAGGTGGGAGGTTTTGTGGGTAGCCTCGCATCAGGCTTCATCACTGACAGAGCTGTATCTCGGGTGAGTCACAGATGGGGATAAAATCAGGCAACAATGACAGTTATTATTGTGTAGAGGTCAGTGGTAAAAACATCCTCTCTTCCTCCAGCAAGGCTTGGGCACCCATGGCAACCCTCGCCACGGCCTGCTCATTTTCATGATGGCCGGTATGTATGTGTCCATGTACCTCTTCAGAGTCACCATCACACCTGAAATCCCAGAGGTAATAGCAACTTCATCCTTTTTATACTGTGTAAAATGATTGACATGTACATGTTGTCAGTATTGAATATATTACAAGATTAATCTGATTCTCTTTGCTCAGGAGGCTCCTCTTTGGGTCCAAGTCATTCATCCCATTTCTGTCCTCATTGGTGTGTCAGAAAAAGAGGTACGCTCAAACATTTAATGGGGTTATGAGGATAAACATTCAATGTACTGAATGTTTGGAAAGCCTTCACGAACATGTGTTTCACATTTTCTTGTCATCCGCAGATCTGGATCCTCTTCCTCGGTGCTCTGTTTGGATTTTCTTCTTATGGACCAATTGCCTTGTTTGGGGTGATAGCCAGTGAAAGCGCTCCTTCAAATTTCTGTGGAACCTCTCATGCTGTTGTAGCTCTGATGGCTAATGGTGAGCTGCAGACTCACACAAGCAGCAGAAACATCTGTATCACTGGCTGTAGTACTCCAGCATTGACTCAATTATATGACTAAACTGTCTTACTGCTTTTGTTACAGTGGGGGCTTTTATGGCCGGCCTTCCCTTCAGCACTATTGCCAAACAATACAGCTGGGACATGGCTTTCTGGATAGCTGAGGTGATAATGGCCGTTGCCACTGTTGGCTTCTTCCTCGTACGCAACATGCGCACCAAGATGGGACGGATCGCCGAGAAACTGGACTAATGTACCTTACTGAAATGAGCCTACTGTCTATGTCCCGTTATATGACTGGATGGACTGTGTTCTCACACTGTTGATGGCTCTGTATAGAGAAGACTGCACATTAATACAACTCCAATTTGACCAAACAAAACCACTATCAAACACACACTAATCTCAGACATTGTCTCCTGATTAACTGGGTTGATGTAGATGCTCAGGGTCAGTGTGAGTCTTTTAAACCAGTGGTTCTTAACATTTTTGGTATCAAGGACCCCCACATTGATACACATCAGGCTGCAGACCTGTATTTGGTAAAATGTAGTATCAGGGATTCCCATCTGATAAGATTTACTTATTTCATAACTAGATTGGCAGATTAAAAGTGAAGAGTGTGAAATTTATGAACAGTACAGTCATGCTTATATATTCACTTATTTGTCAAACTTCTTCTTCAGTGAAATAGTATTTATAATATATATGAAAATATTTTTTCTGAGGACCCCCTCAGGGACCCTTGGTTGAGAACCCCTGATTTAAACCAGTTTAGATTCATAGTCAGGTACTTCTGTCCCACATACTATACTGATCTTTTTCCTCATTCACCAGCACAAAGATAGCGTAGATGATAATTGTTCATTACAAGCTAACATTTTAATGCTTCCACTTAAGGGTGTTTTCATGTCAAGAACATCTAAAGGTTATGAGAGCTTTATGCTGCAAAACCTGGACATGAAGAGTAGATTTTGTGGAGATAAAGTGGGTGTGTGCTGCTCTCTGCATACCTTGCCTTTAGTGGAGGTCAGTTATATCTAACTTATTGAATGTGTACTGATGGGCCTGTATATTCTAGCCTAGTATCTGTCTAGGTATTCGCACAAATGTGGTAGCATGTCATTTCACTAATACTGCAAGTATTTATAAAAATGTACCAGGCTCATTATGTCACTGAAATGAAGTAATCAGAGATCATGATATTTTTATACACAGTTCTGTGCTTCATGGTAGAGAGTATAACACTCATGCAGACTCTTTAGACCATGTCAGCTTTTGTGATCTGACATGTTTTTTTAAGATCAGTCAACATCACACTTTTGCTACAGGTGTTTTGTCACTACCACTGTGGTTATATACAGTAGTTACAATGCTGGATTATATACGGTTACCTTTCTCATCTCTTTAATTTAAATGTGAGTTTTGTCAACTCCAATAATAATGGGTCTGCACTCAGTGCCATGTTGGCATGTCTAGATCTTACTGGAATTATACGGATGACATCTAATAAATGTGAAGTTTTCTTTGTTTGGTTTATGTTTCTCTGTGAACTGGCAGTTCAGTTTAGCACCCACAACCTGTGAGATTTGGCCTCTTGCTTCAGCCAGTTCTGAAACGGCACTAAAGATGCATAAACATTCCTAAAGCTGGAAGGAGAATGTCTGCTTATGGCTAAAGGATAGGCACACATTTTTTAAAATCAACATACTCACATGTCCATATGTACATTGGAACAGTTTATGGTTGCTGTAATGGTTCCTCCTGTCTATACTGGACATTAAAGATCTCTTCCTAATGCGATTCTGCTAATGAAGGACAGTCCTTATGTGGAAAACTGCATTTGAAAGTTCCACTGAAGCTAATAAGAGTTCACAAATCATGTGAGCCGCATCCAAAGTTAGGCTTTTTACTATGAAAGTTTGGAAGCAGGGAAGCAGAGAGAGGGATGCTTCTTTTTATTAAAAAGACTAACTGTGGGGGATAGCCAATTTATGGTTTCAGTCAGACTGCTGAATCCTCACAGCTTCAGTTGAATCTCAGAATGCATTTTTGCATGATTCCAAGGATTTTGTCCCACATTACTTCCATTAAAGAAGCTTTAGGAAGGAACTTCTTCATGGCCAGTATGGACCAGGGGAACAATTAAAACAACCAAAACTTTCATATATTTCATATTCATATTCAAACTGTTCAACCCAATCAGTGAACTCAGTAACTGCAAGAAGTTTGTGTTAAACGAGTGGTTTGGATTAATTTTGACGGATTATATTATTTTATCGCTTAGCTATTGTTCTATTAGACAATTTATTTCACATTATTTCACAGAAGTGAACCAGATGCTGATATATAGGCCTACTGTGTATATTTGTAAAGAGTTCCCTTAAAATCAAGAAGGCCTCGCGACCCCCAGGTTGGGAACCACTGCTTTATATCAATGTGTTGCCAATGCAAGGCTGATTTCCAGTCAGTAATTTTCACCTGCTGGACATGATATATTGTCATGTTTACAGCATATTGAGCAGCCTTCATCAAAACTACGTGTAGTATCTTCTTCACTTCCGGGTCATAGCTACCACACCAAGTTCATGTCCTGGAAAGATTTTAGCAACCTGGGGTGAGTATTTTCAGATTCAGATGTCAGATTTATTCTTAGACTTCTTGGAGTAAATACAAGGCTGAAGCTGTGGCGCAGTAGTATTTTTTAAATTCATATATTAATAATGCATTGGGGTGGACATGTTGAGCATATGTGAATATTTATAAATATTGAGTACAAATGAATTTGACTGCTTAGGTCAACAAATGAAGAAACACATTTCCCCACCAGATGTCACGTGGAGAGGGGAAATAAATAAGAAATATGTCCACTGTTACTGTCCATTGTTAAGATGCATCTCACTGGTGAATGTAAATTTCCCATCAAGGCGACTATTTGTCTATCCAGTTTAAAGAGTGATCGCAGCATGCTTCAATAAAGCCCCGGTATTCAAAAGAACCGCTCACACATTCGTTCCATCCGTTTTCATTGCTGCAGTTAAAGTATATCGGCAGTATGGTACACGGACAAAATATGAAAAATACAAACATCTGAACGACACAAAGATGTGCTGCTTGTGTTCTCTGTAGATACGACAGCATCTGACAGCTTCATTAAGCAAAGTGAGTCTTCCTCCTTCCTCCCTCTGCCGACCAATCACAGCAGAGCCAGAAGGGAACGTGCTGCCGCCATTGCATCAGAGATACGTAAGCGCGCACCATCCTATCGGTTTGTTTACTAACAGAAGCTAAATATGGTATGGTGAAAACTGGTGTGAATGCATTGTGATGGGAGGAAGAAGGAAAGGGCGGCGGAGGAATAACAGCAGCTGATAAAGTGTCCACAGAGGAAGAAGCTGTCCATGGTGCTGAAACTGTCTCATCTGCTTTTATTTGGACAGAACATCTTTATTATGTCTGGCTTTACAGGGGACAGGGCACATTTGAATGATTTTGTATATATATAAATCAATCAATCAATAAATAATATTATTTTAGAAGAGTTAAACAATATGCCCGTCCAGATCATGCTTTGACTAATACTTCACTTCTTCCTTTTTAGTGCTCACCATGGACTGAGCTCAATCTGCATTGTCTTTGAACTTGTCCTGTACATATGCACATTTTCTATTACACCTGGACCAAAATACACAGTTCTAAATACATGTTTAGCCTATATTTGTCCGTGAATTAGATGTTTCTACTAAAATCTTCCGGTGTGTCATATTTTAGAAACATTTACCAAATTGGTCCTTATTTTACTTCAGTGCATTCTAAAACTGTGATCATTTAGTGGACCTATACAGGTCAACATGCTTAGAGTACGGTGGAGTATAAATCACTATCAATGCTGAACTGTTATGACATATTTTCTGGCAGAACACATTTTACAGCCTCTTCGGTAAGAATTTTAAACTTGTAAAGTATTTTCAAAGCTTTGCTTTTCAGTTAACAGTTCATTCTTCTACACTCTTGCATTAGCAACCTTAATAATTAACCAACTTTTCAGAATGAAACAGCATAACAACTACCAACTGAGTTTTATTGGTTTGTTGATAACAATCATTACACAGGTACATCTATAAACAAATAAAAAGAAACTGCACACTTGTACTTGATACAGATACCTAAAACTCACATGAATATTGCTACTGCTGGTATGCAATTGACATCTCAAATAAATGTACAGTTTATCTGTTGGCCTTTAAGAAGCCAGTCTCAACACTTTTTTTTTTTTCATGGTTACATACCTCATTAGCTTGGCTAAGAAAACATTCCATTTTACCATCCTTACAATGTACCATAACACACTGCATATAGAAAGATTGAAAACCTTTTTCACAGCAGCTATACAAATTTATTGCGATGCTATCACAGAACAGAGACACAACCAACACACGCGATGCACAGTTCTGATAGGGAGAGCTCCAGTACTAGGGATTTTAGCTTTATTGATCAGATTCATTAAGAAAACTGCATGAGTACAAGAGTTAACATATAGGAACAAAGCTTACAAACATTCTAAAACACTGTTCTTCATTATAAACAATAAAACAATGAGTTGCCCTGTGACTTTGTCCATTCCCACCCCAGCACAGATTACATACACTGTCCCTTATAAAGCATATGGAATGTAATCCACGCAGGCAATCTCTTGCCGTTGTTGCCCCAGCTCCTGTGAACGACGTGCTTGCGTGTTGAAACGGTAACCTGTCCCACACCCTCCCCTCCTTCACATTTAAAACTGAAATGAAATCCACCGACAGTAACAACAATGACCGCAATTTTTTTATGGCGATGCAAAAATTGTGGGATGTGATGAAATTCCCGTCTCCAAATTGACTTTTTTCTTTCATTAAAAAAAAGTGTTCTCTACAATCAAACTACTAAAAAACCTGTATTTAGAAAATAGTTGATAAAAATATTCCCCTGAATTGTACAAGAAAAGAGGTACAGGGAGCACTGGTAAAAGACGTAGTCTGAGAGATGTTATTCTGCTGCCTCGTCTTTCTCGTCAGCTGCGTCTGTAGCTGGTGCCTGGAAGACAGAGTGTCAAAGTTTCATCACCATGGAGCTTTATTTACCATGTTTATGTATGATGTCATGGGCCTCACCTCTTCCTCAGCTTTGGCTTCTCCATTCTCAGCAGGGGCCTCTGGTGCTTTCTCCTCAGGCTTGGCCTTCTCCACCTCCTTGGCTTTCTTAGGCTTAGCAGGTGCCTTCTGCAAACAGCAATATTAACCACATTAGTCACTCTTTCAAAAGCTTGTGAGTCTAATAAATGAGTCAAATCGGATGCAATCAAAACCAGGTCCCACCTTTGGCTTGGGTTTGGCCTCTGCCTTTGCAGGTGCAGCAGGTCTCTGTGGGGATGGGGACAGAAAGCATCAGTGTCAGCACTAAGAATGCAGCTGACAGCGTGCATATTGTCTGTGACAGTCTGGGCTTGTCTGTACTTACATCTTTCAACCTGAGAGATCTCCTCTTGGGCTGCAGAGAGAAGGAGCAGACAGTGATTACTTTGAGCATGTCAACCAATGGATGTTATTGATGGGGTGCTACTGACCCCTGGTGGGTGTGTAGGCTAACTGTTTTTTTTATTTATTGTTTTATTTGAACAAGACACAGATGCTCAAAAAAATGAGTAAGTCTTATTATTCCTTACCGCTGAGTCACCTGCAGCTGCCTGTGAAGGAAGGAAAGAAGAAATCCAGGTTATGGACACTGTCTGAAACTGTTACTATGGTGTTTTATTGGTAGAGGGGAGTGGGGCATGGGCTTTAAGTATTAGTTATGTAACCAAAAGTGGGCGTTCCCAGACAGAATATTAGCCTATGGCTGCGCATCCAGCGTCATGCATGTTTTAGTTGAGATCAAGCTGTGGTTGGCTAAGACACATTGTAAAATGATGCACAATGGAGCTAATCTAAAAACCACTCAGTGCACATAAACACCAGTGCTCATCAACGCTGTAAGACTGAGACACACTCATTAGTCTGCATGTTTACACACATTATATCAATTAGGATTAATACATGTTACTTAGCAACATATCAACATGAATCCTTGTGGAACTACATGTGTCGGCGCAAGGAGAAATGAACAAGAATCCTTCCATATGCTTGAAAACAAAGGTCTTAACATCGTAATATAATAGCATAACGTAGGGCGTCATGTGGTCGTACACTCCCACCTCCTGCAAGTGATTTGCCTACTGTAAAACTCCGGTGGAGGAGGGGGCGGACTCCGCCTCCTCCCGACACATCCATTCATTGGTAATAAATGGGATTGCCAGTGTACGGAGAAAACCGAGCAGTGTAGTGAGTGTTCCCGCCATGAATTTGAAAACAGTCACTCCGAGATGCTCAGCGACTCTGTCGATCTGGTAGCAGAATCTACTGGAACCCCCAGCAACAAGAGCAGCGCTTTGCTGACGGAGGCTCGCCATTGCATAACCTGCGAGTGGCCTGAGCCGACAATGCACAGAAAGA